GGGGAACTTGTTGATGCAAACAGCCCGCGATGACTCTGGATGTCGTCCAGCCACGCGGCAAGTTCTGTATTTGGCGCAACATTCAGTCTAGATGGGCCGACAATACTCAAGGCCGTCGCCATTTGCCTTCTGGTATTTAAAAAAAAAAAAAAAAAAAGGGGGAACTTGTTGATGCACACAGCCCGCGACAACTCTGGATGTCGTCCAGCCACGTGGCAAGTTTCAGTGAAATCCTACGGAAGCACGGTAATAAGTGGATGGAGAGCCTGGATTCGACAGGGCCGTCCACGTATCTGACCCCAGTTCGCAATCAGGTTCATCCCACAAAACAAAATTCCTCTCTGATAGTATTATTCCTTGGTGTAATGACAATAACAAGAAATTAATGAAACTCAATGCAAATGCCGCTCGATGTCGTCGTCATGTATCTGAGATCTCGCTTGATGGCCGTTGGATGTCGTTGATGCTGATGTCCATTGCAGGTACAGGAAGAACTCTCGTTCCTGCCACGCACCACGAACCCTTAGGCTACTCTCTAACAGAGGCTAACGGCGCGGACCCCACCGTCTAACGCAGGCTAACGGAGGCTTACGGAGGCTTACGGAGGAGGCTTATGGAGGAGGCTTACGGAGGAGGCTGACGGAGTGGCTGCATTTAAACCAACTCTACTTCCTAAAGTCGAGCCCGTTAACGAGCCACGTTGTTAGCAAACGTACGTTAACGTGCCACGCTTTTAGCAAACGTACCGGCCACTACAGGAGCGCCCAAATTCATCCAACAAGAGTAGAAACGTTTCTACTCTATTCTTTTCCCACGGCCGATAGCGCTGGGCCAAGTACTGGTGGTTTTTAACTGGCAGGGGCCACCAGAGGTTCAAGGACGACAACCAAGCTCGCAGGGGTGCACCCAAACGGCTGAGGAGATAACCGGCAGTCTGCATATTTCTTCCAATGATGGCGATGGTGGCGTCCCGACGTCCCCTTCGGGGCTGGACAGCTGTCATCCTCCTTGTGGGCGTGATATTCCTAGTTGCTGCCTCGAAGGCAACTGCCCGGCTCATCAAGAATGAGCAGCCGGACACATACAATGGCCACGTGGCAATCGCCGGCGGCCGACTTCTGCATGGACAACACACATGCAACTTCGAATGTCCTCCTGGGTGCAGCTGTCGTCATGGTTCCTGCTGGGAGACGTTGGGAATGTGCATAAGACCTATGCCGTGTCGTAGGCCTTGCTTTGGGTGGCCTTAGGCTTAGGGCATACAGAATGGAGTCGCGAATAGGAAAGAGGTACGGTTGGTTATAGCCGTACATCTTATTCAGGGAAAAACGGGCGGTACTCTTATTCAGGCATAACGACCGTACATCTTAATATCCAACGAAAAACGGGTGGTACTCTCATGCTGACGACGTTATGCGTTTCCAAAAGGTGTTCGCGCCATGAAAGTGGAGTCAGGGTGGTAGTTGTAACTCTCATGGCCTGAGTTCAAAAAGGCAGTTGTAACTGAGGCCGGCAGTGGAGTCAGGGTGGTAGTTTGTAATAGGCACTTATGTTGCGTCGGTACCGGTCCGTTCCCGGGTACTGGCCGTCCCACATTTTTCCGGAGCCTGTGCCACCTGTTTTAGGCAGAGCGCGGGACTGGTTACCGGCCTTTACCCTTGCTGGAGACGGCCGAGCCCGTTCGTTCGTGCTCCCACCGTTCCATCGTCGCTACCCGCTTGCCTTGAGCCGGGTGAGTCCTGCCTCGGAGCCACGTGTCGAAAGGCACACACACACACACACACACACACACAGAGCTCATGCGCGGCGCGTCAGAGCAACGTGGCACACTCTCTGACGCGCCACGCATGAGTTCTCTCTCTCTCTCCCTCTGTGTGTGTGTGTGTGTGTGTGCGCGCGTGAGAGAGAGAGAGAGAGAGAGAGAGAGAGAGACGCGCGTGCACCCCCGACCCTGCAACCCGCAGCTCCCCCCCCCACCTCCACCCAGTCGTGTCCGCGTCTTCCTTGTACAAACGAGGGGTGCGCGCGTGCCGCGGCGGGCATGTCTGCGTGGCTGTGCGGCAGTACGTGCGGATAAGGGCTCGCTAGTCGCTGCTTGCGGGATGGTCATCACGATGAACCCCCCCTCTCTCTCTCTCTCTCTCACTCTCTGTGTCTGTGTGTGTGTGTCTGTGTGTGTGTGTGTGTGTGTGTGTGAGAGAGAGAGAGAGAGAGAGAGAGAGAGAGAGATCTTTTTCGAATGAATATTGGCATATTTCTACGCTGGATTCAACCCAGAAATATGGCCAAATTCATTCAAAAAAGCCCTCTGCGAGTCTGCGTTCTTTTCCGAATGAATATTGCCATATTTCTGCGCTGAATCCAGCACAGAAATATGGCAATATTCATTTGAAAAAGTTATCTCCCTCTCTC